GTTCAATAGAGTATTTCAAGCCTGATGATTATTTTGGAGTAATTAAATGTCACCCCTTTTTAAATTTTCTCATTGAATTTAATTTGTTCTAAACTTGGATTACTGTAATTGTAATAGATTTTTTGGAATTAATATCATTACTTTGAATATTACATTTTATATATTATTTAACTTGATTGGTTTTTTTATTTCAATAACATAAATTTAATAACAAAACTAAATTACATCTATGTATGTTGAAAGGTCATATAATTCAAAATCTACATATGTTCCAAACTAACAAGTACATGTTTGTTTAAAATAAAAAGTACAAGTTACTTTTTCAAAATAAAACATTAGCATTGTCTAAAGATTGTTCAAAACTTGTAATCAAAGCATACTTCAGCATCGTCAGTCACTTCAAATTTGTTCTTGTTTACTACACTTGTAAGGATTTCATTGCTATAATATATCCTTAGCTTCTTCAGAGCATCAAACTATAAAACAAAAAAGAAAATCACATCAGCAAAAAGGAACATTAGATCTAATAAAAAGAGCATTATACATATTTAAAAGAACATTTAACATATTTAAAAAAACATTACGCAAGTATAAAAGAACATATCTTACATTGTCAGCCTTTAACCCACATTCCCATTTCCAAATGTGAGGGATTATATCTGGTGCTACATATGAGGATGTATGAATGTATAGATTTTTGTGCTAAAGATAGTGAAGGATGTAAATAATAAATAATTAACGGACATGCTGAAATTGCCAATATCACAATTCAATAGTAAGCTAAAATTTCCAAGTAGATAAACCAGTAGCAATAATCTAATAGAAGAACATCGTATTACATCAAAAAGAACATTATCAGAAACATTAACTATAAATAAAAGAACATTAACTTTAAATAAAAGAACATTATACAAATTTGAGAAAAAAAAAAAGTCGTATTACCTCAAAAAGAACATTATCAGAAACAATTAATTAATCATTGAATTATTTCCTACTAAATAGATCTACCATTTTTAATTGCATTGAAAACTTCAAAATTCCAAATTACCTCATAAACAATAACAGAGACCCTACCAAACAGATGTACAATTTTTTTAGTACACTAACAACTTGAAATGCCAAATTAAGTGAGAAAAGGATTTTTTGTACTCCACTTACTTTGTTTTTGCCAAACTTTCTACGGATTTCAAGATATGAGGGTCCACAATTGGAGCAACATCTTCACCTTCTTCTTTCTTTTTGCTTTTTTTTTTCTTTAATATTTTTGAAAGCTGCTTTCAACGGAATATCTTCCTCATTTACCACTTTTTGTTCACTAAATTAAAAAAATTAAAAAATAAATCAAACAAACATGCGTAGAACTTCTTAACTTTCTGATATACAATTATCTTTTAAAACACAATTAAAAGTAAAAAATTATAGAATTGAATGAGAAATTCGCACTTACGCATCGTTTTTGGCCTTCATAATTGCAAAAAAACTTGATTAATTTATGAAGATGATTCGATTTTTGAGTAAATTAGGGTTTCTTTGAAAGGGGGAAGATGAACTACTTTTTACTTTTCTTGCATAGTAAATGTTAGGAGAGAAAAAAGGTAAAAGTTTACTCAATTACTTCAATTAAAGTGGACCCTGAAATTTTCAAAAGCCCATTAACTGTTCATCCTCAATTAAATGCGCGTACTCTTAAAACGTATAAGATGTTCTTTTATGGACCATGTTCTTTTATTATTCATAGAGTGATGTTCTTCCGGATGTACCATGCGCATGGTACACCCGGGTGTACGAAACAATTATTGTCACAATAATATCTCATAACAAATTAGTTGAGGGTTCGATCTCATAACCTTTGTGAATGTAAAGAAACTCTTGGCTAGTCAGTCACCTTTAAGGCTTTACGTGGAGCACTTGAGGAGTTGAGGTGAGAAGAGTAGTCATTATGTCGTACCATACAATCAGTGCTAGTATTTAAAAAAAAGGGGGGGGGGTGTTAAGAGAGGAAACAAAAACGTAGACACTGTATAGTGGCCTGAGTTGAGGAAGCCATGATTTTGTATTCTTGTTAAAAATGATAATTAGGAATGAATGAATGAAGTATTCTTGTTACTAGTACATTATCAGATACGGAGAACATACAAACTCTTTTGAAAACTCTTTGTTTTTTTTTTTTTTTTTTTTTTGAATGAGTACACTTATTTTATGTCGAAGTATATATAGTTTATCAAAAAATATAAATAATATTTAAAAAAAATGGATAGATTTCTATTGAACAACTTCGAAAAAACATAAATAATTATCACAGAGAGAAGATGGCCATATAAATTAAGTTTTGTTTTCCTTCTCAAATAAAGAAAATTATACATAATATTTAAGGCTTATGAATCTTCTTTTACACTGATAACCTTAAATAAATAAATATAAAAGTTGGATAAACCTTTTAATTAGCTAAATTAAGGATCAAGGAATTTCATAATATGTATAAATCCTTTATGTTTGCAGGGCGGTATTAATTAGTTACTAAAACAGTTTCCTAAATTATACCGATTTATATGTATACGATAATACGAGTATACGACTATATAGATTACTAAATTAGTTTCCTAATACAACCAAGCTAAGGACATGGGCTATCTAGATTGTTTGTATACGGGCTCAATTGTTGTTCTCTACACATAAATTTGATAATCATAATTTCTCCTTAAAATTTCTCAAGAATTGAACGAAGTTCGATTGGTATGGAAGAAAAAAAAAAAAAGGTCTAATCGACAGGTTTGAAGAACTTCAATACCGTGATTCCTTGTAGCCATGACACTAATGATACTATGAATCCTAACTCGTGTTCTTTTCCTGGGAAACTGAAATCCTAGATAGCTACTGCAAGAGGGGGGTGAATTGTAGAATGGGTGAAATAGTAAACTTTTTGCGGAATTAAAACAATGTAAAACCATAGAGAGCAATGATATGGGTTTTTCGAAATTTTCACTAAATAAATCAAACTCTTTTACAAAGTGAATACTCAACCCGAATTAAGTTCCACAAGAACGGAACTTATTCCCAACTACGGTCCCTCAACCGTAGCTAACTCTCTTAAAAGTTTCAACTCTGAAACTTTCTTCACCTCACAAAATACAACTCTCACAAATACCCCAAAGTCCCAATTATAGTAAGTAATACAAGACCTAACGTACAAGAGAATATAAAAAGTATTTTAGGAACTCTCTCACGCTTTTAGACAATTTGCTCACTGGAAATATAATGCTCAAGAAGTCCATTTCTTTCTAAGATCAATTGCATGTATTTATAGAGTGGTAGCTTAATAATTATCATCCCATCATTTACACAAACACATGCCATCACTCCCACTAACACATTGTCTCAATCACAATAACTAGGATTAATCATTTATATTCCAGTTAAACGTTATTTATTTTAATCTTTATAATAACGTGCCTTACTGAGTTCCAAAACCAACTTATATTCTCGAGTACTTACAAATAATCTAGAATCTGGATTTGCACGTTGTACTTGTGTGAATGCTACTCCGTATTCCTGATTTAGTGTTCCTACTTCGGAACGGGGTGTGGATGCTACTCCGCATTCCTGATTTAGTGTTCCTACTTCGGAACGTTTTTCATTGCGTGAACCTTTTGTTTACCAAAGACTTAAAAACATTCATTAGTCAAGTTTGTCAGTTTGTTCATAAAAACCATAAGGGTCAACAGAAACTCAAAGTTAGATTAAACTTTGATCACCATAAATCTTAATTTATTACCATACTGATGGTCGAAAAATGTTGAGCATGCGAAAACTACCTACAAAGGAATTTCTCTTGATTAACCTGTTTTGCATATTGTACATGGAAAAGAGTTGAGTCTCTTAAGAGGCAAGAACAACAAGGTTTGGACTTTGGAACATGAAAGTGGTTTTCTAAAGAGGGTTGAAGTTTCTAATTTGAGGCTTTTTCGTATTGGTCTTGATTGAGTTTGCAATGAAGAGGAGTTCGAGGCGTGTGTTGTTACCTCCGAAGATTTTGTTGAGGAGGAAGTACCGATTATCAAGGAGCTTAGTATTGACGAGGGTAATGATAATGATAATGAGTCTTTGAAAAGAGAGGGTATGTGTGGTATATGTCTACAAAAAATTGAAAATTTTATGCGAAAAAGGGGGCAAAGATCTTAAGGCAGCGAGTAACGGCGATGATAATGTTAGTATTGTAACAAAGTGGTTAAAATATGGTGCCTAGCTACAGTCCTACCGTATCATGGATTTCTTATTTTAATAAAGAGGATTTATATATAATGAGATTATTTTGGAGAATTTATAATATGGTGCCTAGCTAGAGTCCTACCGTATCATGGATTTCTTATTTTATTATGATTACAACTCTCATGAGTCACGGTCTTGCTGGTTTTTTTTTATATTTTTTTTATATATATATTTTATTCTTTTCATATGGAAATTTATATTAGGATATATGTTTATTTATGTTAATACATACCTGCTACTTAAATTACTACTATATATTTTTAATTTATGTTATTTAATACTTCGTACTTCCTTTGTTCTTTTTTTTTTGTCCCATAGCTAATTTTTGGGGTCAATTTTTAATAATTTTGACCACAAGTTCCCATTAATGTACAATAGATAATATTTTAAAGTGGGATCTTGTTGTATTCGTCGAATTGTATATTTTATTAATATCAAGTTTTTATAATACACTTATAGATCTTGAGATATATACGTTTATCACGCGTCTCGAAAACCGTGAAAATTCCAATGGAGTAAAAAAAAATGACAGAGGGAGTAATAGATATGATGAGTAAAATTCGATCACTAAATTACCTATTTACCACTTCTCAATAAGTAAAACTAAGTTACATTAATCTATAGTCTATACACATGGGAAAACCTCTCATACACTTACTGTTTCATTTAAGGACTTCCAACAACAACCTCTCATATCAAAATTCAATCAAAGCACAAAAAAAAAAAAAAAAAAAAAAAAAAAAAAAAAAAAAAATTATAATAATATTGTGTTTGGAAAAAAAAAAAAAAAGTTAGGTTATGTGTTATCCCTTGTTAAGGTTGGCCCAACCCTAAATCTTGGCAATCAAGGAATAGTGAACAAAAAGAAACCTATAAATATAACTAACAGCTTAAAAACGACATTCATATTTTCTGTTTCACCGTCTTTCTCCTCTCAAACCTTTGATCGCAAAACTAACATCCTTACAATTCTCAATTCAATTTTTCTCATAATCATCAATCGATCAATCCCTTTTCTCAATCGATCCATCTCTTCAAATCGTGGTTTTTCAGGTTTGCTAACTTTACAATCATAATAATTCGCTTATTACTCGTATTTCCTCTGCAGTATTCTTTAACTTAGGGTTTACGATTATGGGATTGTTCTCTCCAATTACGACAATTTCGATGCTGAATTTTGATTTCTGGTTTTGGTTCTGGCTATATAGGGTATCGATTTCTAGGGTTACGGTATTGGGGCTTTTTATGGCTACTTCCATGTTTAGATTTTTAGTTTTAATTTCTAGGGTTCTAGCGTTTCAATTGCAAAAAGGGGGTTTTGATTTTATTCGATTATTGTTACTCGTTTTTGGATACGAATCATTGGTTGGTTACAAGATCTGATATTGCATCTCTGATTGGTGGATCGATCAATTTATATGATGTATTGATTTGTTCGATTGATAACACACCCAGAAGAGAATTGTTGATTCAATAGGCTAGTATTGTGTCGAATTTGAAATTCGGATCGTTTCGGTTTTTATTCGATTTGCTGTGGTTCCGGTTGATTTCTTGGACAAGGGTTTTTGCAGTTACTCTCTATATCATCAGAAGAGAGGGGAAATCATACCAAAGACACACCTTTAATTGCTGAGACGAATTATAGTTGCGCGCGATTAGTTATGTTTATGTTTTTTGTTGTCTAGAACGATGGAAACTATCACAAGAAGAGTCACACAGAGACAGAACAGGGCTTCATTCAGCTGGCACCGTCAACCCTCCACTGCTCCTTCCAATGACAAAGTCTGCAAGTTTTGGTTGGCTGGAAACTGTAGAAAAAAATCGTGTTGTTATTTGCACCCAGAGGTCACTGCTGCACCCATCAAGCGCGTTTTGAAACTGAATCGCGCTAGTTTCAAAGAGTCCCATGAACCAAAAAAGCCGTTGAATGCTAATTGTAAGAGACAGAATGAAGATAGCACTATTGAGGTTAAAAGGAAGCATATTTTGTCCTCTAAGAACGAGGTTGTCCAAAGTGATCCTGCAAAAATTGGGAAAAATGATCATTCATGTCAGGCTGCTTCTAATGCTACAAATGGAGATGTTAAGAGTGCCCCGCGTACTAAAATATGCGAGTACTGGTTAAAAGATAGCTGTGTTTATGGTGATAAGTGCAAAGATTTGCATTCTTGGTGTTATGGTGATGGATTTTCTGTGGTGGCTCAACTTCAGGGGCATAAGAAGGTATACAACAAGAAAATTGCTCAATTATTAATGTGTATTAACTATATTTGTTCTGATTATCAGTTTTCTGATTTTGCTCACATGAAATTTCTTAGGCTATCACTGGAATTACTCTTCCATCAGGCTCTGATAAGCTTTTCAGCTCTAGTAAAGATGGGACTGTTAGAGCTTGGAATTGCCATACTGGTGAGGTAGATATCATCAATTCTTTCTCTATACTAAACATATATACAGTGTACTCATGACTGAGTTTAGGTTGAGGATAGATCATTAAACCACTTGATTATTTTGGTCGATGCAGTGTATAGGTGTTGTTGATATGGGTGTTCCGGTTGAATGTCTGATAAGTGAAGGACCATGGGTGCTTGCTGGTTTAACTGATGCAATCAAGGTAATTTGATGAAACATTGTTATGGCCTCAAATTATGTGACTTTCTTTGTCTTGAACTTGTGGATCCATAACTGATTTGTTCTGGTTTTATTTTGTCTTGTTTTAGGTTTGGAACATCCAGACGAATGCTGAATTTACTTTAAGTGGACCAGCTGGACAAGTATATGCTATGGTTGCTGTTGATGGATTGCTATTTGCCGGAGTTAATGTAACTACTTATCTGCCTTAAACTTGGGACTTCAACCTGTCTATGTATAAAATTTCTGTTATTCATGTTATACTGATTTAGTTGGTTCTGTATTCTACTTCTGCTGTAGGATGGCTCGATATTGGTGTGGAAATTTAATTTTGAAGCTACTATGTTTGAAGCTGTAGCACCACTGAAGGGTCATACTCAAGCCGTGGTTTCATTGATTTATGGGGCTAAAAGACTTTATTCTGGTTCAATGGATAGCACAGTAAAGGTTTGGGACTTGGAGACTATGCAATGCATCCACACCCTCGCTAAGCACTCTGAGGTTGTGATGTCCGTGCTTTGTTGGGAGCAATTTCTGCTTTCATGCTCTTTGGACCAGACATTAAAGGTAGATATACTTCACTCTAGCTCTTTAAGTTTTAGTAAAGTAATTTGTAAATATGACGGCTTCTTAGGGCATTTAAAGTATTTTTCTTTGCATTCTAAGCAATTCTGTACACCTTTCAATATGCAGGTTTGGGCTGCCTCTGAAGCAGAAGATCTAGAGGTCACTTATGAACACAAGGAGGAGCATGTATGTCATCTCTACTCAAATTTTCTAATGATTTTTTGATGTGTATAATAATAAACTAACTTACAATTCATTTTTAGAGAAAGACTTCGTTCATTTCTTTCATTTTACTTTTTATGATTCTGTCAACAAATTTCTTACCCAACTGCATCTTCCTTGCAGGGTATTCTCTGTCTGCATGGTATGCATGATCAAGCAAATAAACCAATTTTGCTTACCTCGTGCAATGACAACACCGTTCGTCTATATGACCTGCCATCGTGAGTATCTACACTAGTTTGAATTTTTTTCTTTTTCTCTTTTTTCCATTCCAAATGATACCCTTGCTTATTGTTCACAATTTCTGGGTGCCATTGCTGCAGCTTTGCTGAGAGAGGCAAGATATTTGCGAAACAAGAAGTCAGGGCTATTCAGATCGGCCCTGGAGGGCTTTTCTTCACTGGTGATGGAACCGGTTTGTTGTCAGTTTGGAAATGCTCAAGTGACTCAACTGCAACACCTCCTGAAGCTTCTTAATTTGAGCAGTTTAGTTAATTATCATGCCAATTCAATTTTGAAAATAGAAGTAATTGTGTATTCTTCCCACGTGAATGTAACACATTGTTACAGACCTCTCTCTATATATAATCTCTTTTAACAACGTACAGAGTACAAGACTACAACATATGGGTAGCAATGTTTTAAGCTATATATTATTATTGCCTTTGGAAACCAGGCTTCGCAGAACATCTTTAATACAGCAAAATGTTAATCTGTAATTTTAGAATCAAACGCACCTTAATTCAACAAGGAATCAAACGAACAAAACAAATCAAACCAGAACTACTATAAGTTTCTCGTCTACTCTAATGAGCTTTAACACAAAATGGGTCGTAAAAATTCATCATTGACAGAAAACTATTTGGAAAAACCAAAATCAGAAGATAGATCCATCAATGAATTTGATAGATCAAAAACGAGAGCGAATTAAGTGAATATGCTTTCGAAACTCTAATTTGAATGCCCTTGCAAAAGACTGTCATATACTGTACCTAAGATTTATATTTTCCTGACTCCTGTAAAATACACAAATTACCTCGAACATTGACGGTGAATTTTGGTTACATTGCCTCATCTTGTAAAATGCAATTAAGATGCTGATACACATCAGAACCCTAAAAACATATACACCTTGAATATAAACATATGAGGAAAATTATAAAGTTTTATTTTAACCATAACTTTTATTGTGGTATATAAAATGTCGTACTATCAATATTTTATGTGTCATAATTCCGTCAAATTATAAATGGCACAAGTTAATTTATTTTGCTAGTTTGGGTTGATTCTGAACTAGGAACCTTTGTAGACATATGAGGTAAAACTTACTTGATGCGATATTATGAGTGCATCTCAGCGCATAGTTGCTATGCGTTTACAATGCATATAGGATGGTAGAAATGTAAATTTGTTAAGCTTCAATATTAAAATTGAAAAAAGCTGACTCTACAGTGGTACATTATAATGTACCATTATGCTATATAATGTACTATTAAAGTATAAGTTGTCTTAATAGTACTTTTTGCATGCATGTAGTGATACTTTTTATCATCCTATAGGTTAAATATTTTCCCCCAAAATACTTACCACCTGCCATTTATTATGCATATAGTGGTACATTTTTTCATCTTATTTGTTTACTAACAAATAGCAGTTATGCGCTAAGGGTTAACCCAATATTATATTAATCTAAGCCAAGTAATTTAATTATTACATTGGGTCAAGTGAATCTATTGTCAAGTGTTATGGTTATAATAAAAATAACAATTTATTTTTAGGATGAAGCATATATGGAAGCAATTGGCAAAGCAGCAAATAAGGGAGACAAAAATGGTAGTATTAAGAATATTGACATCGGCACTCAAAAGTTACAAATTAATCAATCCAACAAGAAAAACATGTTTACTCTAATAAACTAATAAGGACAAATAGAAAAGCACAAATCAAAGAAAAGATGAAAACATGAAAATAACAATAAAAACTTAAGAAATCAACATTTAGTTGACAAAGAGTTTAAGACTTTATAGATTAGCGAATAAACGGTATGAAGATAAGAGTGCTGCAGGTGCTAAAAATATAAATGCTAAAACAGACATGCTGACAGATGCTGCCACGAGTTGTAAGCCTGTGTTTGTGTAAAAATCATTGCTTAATTCGATGGACATTGTTGCCCCTGCTGATCCGGATGAAAATACCATGTATGCCAAAAACTGCAAATTTCCAAAGCAAAAGTAGTTAGTTATCCATTATTGACATTTAAACCCATAAAATAGTTAATGTGACTATTATTATTGGTCATGTTGACTTTTTTTTTTTTTTTTTTTTGGGACAATCATGTTGATTAATTCATTACAATGTCAAAGGTAATTGCCAAAAAAAAAAAAGCTATAATATTGACCTGATCTCCGCAAAAATCGATCCAAATTGCAATCTTAGGTGAAATCACATCCTTTTTGGTGCGAAGTTCATGACCTTTTATCCCAACTTGCACTGTTGTATATACCATCACAACAATAGCTATACCAAGCACATAACTACGACATAAAAAAAAAGGAAGTTCCATGTCAAACAATACACCCCATATTAGGTGCGTACTCCAAATACAAAGTATAAGTGTATAACCCCTATAATTATCTAAAAACACCCTATAATATTCTTTATATATGTGTATACACAGCGATCAAGATCAACTATATAAGTCAACATTTGAGACTAATGGAGAAGGGAAGAGATTAATGATCCCCACTCCAAAGTACAAGGAGATAATAGAGACCCTAAAGTTACAAAAGTGAGCTTTCCATCATAGCCACCAAACAAACTTGGGTAATAAATTTAATTAAACACAACATATATAGCATCATGTTTGGCGTGGATGAGTAAAAAGAGGCTTCTGTAACCTTTTTTTTTTTTACAATAAATAAAATATTAATAGAATTTGGAAAGATGACTCTCTTTACTTCAAATACTCCAAACCGCCTGCAAATTCTAAAGTACTTGCATCACTTTGATCTTTCCGTAATCTAAAGTATTTACAATCAAAGTCATCTTTCCAAATTCTATTAATAGAATTTGGAGAGATGACATAATACTTACATCATTATGCGCTAAACAAGTCATAACTTTTAGGAAAATTTGAATTTTAGTACCTCGAATATGGGGGTAATTGAATTTTAGTACCCATCTAAAATTTTATTTTAAATTAGTACCTCCAAAAACACAAAACTGTAGATTTCAGTACCTCCGTCCATGTTCCGTTAAGTTTTTCGTTAGTGGGGCCCATTTCTAATTATTTAATAATTTAATTTATTAAAAAAAAACATTTTATAAAAAAAAACTTAAAAAAATAATTAATTTGGTTGTTTCCATTGACTCTCTCATTAATAAACAATACGGGCGTGGAATATCGGGTCGAATTTCATCTTCCATCTCAAAATCATCCATATTCAACCGATCTAAAACATACCCATTTCATCAAATCATTAATCAACAAAAACCCAGAAACCATCAACCAAATTAACAACAACAAAAACATTTTTTCAGATCTAAAAAACAGGAAACAACAAAAACTATTAATGAGAGAGTCAATGGAAGGTAGAAAAAATCCATTGATGAAAAGCTTTGATTTTGAAGAGAGAGAAAGAGAGAGTCAATGGAAGGCCACCACCGGCGCCGCCAACCCCCATCGCCGTCACCCATCCCAATTGACCACCCTCGACCCACGAAGTCAGCCGGCCGACCTTCCTCGAACCACGAAACCAGCCGTCCGACCACCCTCAGCTCGATCGACCTTCGAAACGAGCCCAACTGTACCCTGGTTTGACGACGGTTTTGGGTAAGGGAGAGGAAAACTGGGGCGGTGGTGGGTTGATTTGTTGCAGTCGGCTTCTTGCTGGGCTAGTTTAGGTAGTTCGACGCTGGTTTGGAGTCGGGAGATGACGATGGGGGCTTCTCGCTGGGCTGGTTTGGGTTGGGGTCTGATCTGGGTAGTTCGGCGACGGCTTCGGGTCGGGGAGACAACGATGGGGCTGGGTTAGGGTGACGGCCACCGTTGCGCTAGGGTTTCGGGGAAGGGGAAAACAGGGAGGGAAAGGGAGGGGTGGGGTGTCGCGGCCAGGAACGAGGAAGGGAGGGAAGATGGTGGTGGTTGCGCCGGTGCCAGGGAAGGGGAAAACAGGGAGGGAAAGGGAAGGGGTGGCCGGCGCCGGTGCCAGGGGAATTCGGCCACCAACAGCCGGAAGCCGGCGCCGGCGGTGGTGGCAGTGGTTGTTTTTATTATTATTATTTTTTTAGTTTTTTTTTACAAAATTTTTTCCTTTTTTTTAATAAATTAATATTAAATAATTAGTTATTGGGCCCCACTAACAGAAACTTAACGGAACTAGACGGAGGTACTAAAACCTATAGTTTTGTCATTTTGGAGGTACTAATTTAAAATAAAATTTTAGATGGGTACTAAAATTCAATTACCCCATATTCGAGGTACTAAAATTCAAATTTTCCTAACTTTTACTATCAACAACTTCACACATTTAGAAATCTATTATTAAAAAAATCAAATTTAATCTAACGACATCAACAAACCTTACATAAATCTAACGACATCAACGAGCTTTACATAGCTAGTCAAAGTAGCGTTTATGAATAATATAAAAGGTTGAGATCATATGAATAATTAATGCAAGTATTTTGGGATAACGGAGTAATCTACTTGAATGATGAGAAAGGAGATATTTAAAAATTATTACTCCCTTTTTTTTTTCTCAATTTTGACCATCTTTTGTTGCTATTATATAAACTTGATATGTCAATAATAATGTATACTTTAAGATATAAACCAACAGATCGAGCAACTTATTTAATAACATTTTAATTTATATAATAGCAAAAATGATGGTCAAAGTTGACAACAAAGTGTGTAATTATTTAGAAACGGAATAAGTAATATAATGGTGAGAATTTTTATTTCATTGTAGCTTTATAGTACTCCCTCCATCCCTCTATTTTTACCCTATTGCCATTTTTTGGTCAAATTTTGAAAACTTTAACCTAAATTACCGTTAATTTATAAAAGATAATATAGTCATGAGTAGTCTTGTTAGATTCGCCTCATTATATATTTTATTAATATCACGTTTTTATAATTTTTACGTTTATGAAAATAAAGATATAGACATTTTAAGGCGCGTCTTGAAGACCGTGCACAGTCAAATAGGACAAAAAAAATAGGGATAGGGGGAGTAACTGACTGTAATATTAGTAAAAGTTTGACGTGAGAAACAAGTATAAATACCTTAACCCTGAATATAGATAGAAGTCAGTAACAGCAACCATAAGAATGAAAGAGAGGAGAGAAACGACCATAGCACATGACCTAAAAATAAATGCCCATAGCTTTAACCGATCACCCTTCAATTTCTTCCCATCAGAAGATCCCGCCGGCATGGTGTTTGCTTCCGGCATCACTCCAACCCCACCCTCGATATCGTTACCTGGAGGCCGTGGAAGGGTTCTGGCCGCTTCTTTCTCCGGTTGTTGTTGCATTTTGTACAAAATAAAACAAGTGGTTTGGAGAGAGATGATGTGATATTTTGTTCAATAACTTCTACGTACACTATTTTTTCTTAAATAAGTACTATTGTACTAAGTATATTGTATGTATTCAACTATTTTATATGGTTAACACATAATAAAAATTATTGTCAATGAAACTAAGCTATGAAGTTCGTTGACTAATCACCCATAATGGTGCAAAAAGGCTGTCTTCAAGTATCTAAGCACGTGAATAGTGGTAAATATGTAAATCTTGATGATTACGGATTACTAACGACGACTTTGAACGTAGACTTAATTAATTTATAAAGCTTAATTTTAAAGGGACGATATATCTAGAATTCTATGACAATTATATTGTGTTATGTGTGTTAAATGATTGAATGTCCATAGCCTATATTTATAGGTGTAGATGGAGCTTGAAAGAAATTAAATGGTCAGAATATTCCAGAAATTCCTCCATCATTCTTTTATCCATAATGTTCTAGAAAATTCAAGAACCATGTATTATATTCTAATAGCTTCCAATATCAATAATGCTCTAGAACATTCAAGTAGGATATTATTCTAGAGAAATCAAGAGCAGGTAATGACCTTACTTAATTATTCCGGAAGCCTCTAGAATATGCACAATACTCCACCAAAATGATGGGCCTAGAAAATTTGGGCCATACCCAACATATTGTACATAGTATGTTATAATATATTTATTTAATTGTAAGGTTGTTAGTTCGTTGAATTTATTATAATATGGTGTATTTAAATGAACAATAGAATGTCAAGCATTAACAACTCATGCTCATAAATATTGCATAACGATGTGGCCAAGACCAAAGCTCAAACAAATTAATCATGTCATTGCATGCGATTATTTAAGCTACTTGAAGTATAATACTAGACGAATAATTCCAAGGGCGATTCTCTTGGGAATTGGTGCATAAAACTAATGAGATAGCACAAATGTTTTTTTATTTAAAAAAATTATCTTGAAAAGTCAAGGAAAACACTCATTTTTTATAACAAAAATCAAATATTCTCTTGATCAAATTTTTCCTAAAAAAAATCTCTTCACAAGTGTTATGGTGCTACATTAGCTACTAAGCTTTGCACTGAAAAAATAAAAAAAAATAAAATAAAAAATCTATCTATACTATATACTAACGTAATTACCAAATAGGACACTTAGCACAATTTTATGAAAAATATATACTAAAGTAATCACCAAATACGACACTTAGCACAATATTATGAAAAATTTTCCCTTCATATACTAAAGTATTTTTTTTAAGAAAATGAATTTGTATTAAATAATTTGAAATTATTTTAACATAAAAAATATTTATGTAACATACAAGAATTTTAAAGGTATATATTAAATAATTTTTATTTAAAAAAAAGTACATAAGTCGTGGTTAATAAATCTTACCATGAATGTATGTGCATTTGCACATACAGGCACAAACTAGTTAACAACTAAGCTTAAAGCTAGCTAATGGATAATGTTGATGAATCCTACTATTTCATTCACATAATACTTTGAACTAGCACTTAATTTTGCATTTGCATTTAAGCTAAGTGACAAACAATCAATATGGAGCGACATTACGGACATATTCTCTTCAACATATTTCAGGTACTTATTACTTATTATTTCTTAGTAAATTCAGATCAGATCAGGCTAGACGAAAAACATTCAGATCAGACCAGATCAGAACTTTTAATTATCATTTACTTATTGCTAAATATCGTTAATTGCGTATTACAAAATATTATGAAAATTACATATTTGAAAAGTTCATAATGAGACCGATCTAACAAGATCCATTTTGATAATGTTTTTCTTTATAGATTAGTATTAAAATGCGGTCAAAATTTAGTCAAATTATTAAATCAGATCAGACCAGATCTGATAATAAAAATTCAGATCTAATAATAAAAATTCAGATCATACCTTATGAAAATCAGACCAAATCTCCTTGTTTCAGATGAAGAGAGCAAGTTTGTAAGAATATAGCTCAAAGTGGGGATTTCATTTCTCTGACAAAGAGGGCAAATAAATGTTGTACGTCTTTTTATAAACCATTAACTAGGGCACATATAACTTGCCATATTATGTTTCTATTAATTCTATGAAAGAGGACAAAAAAGGGATGTTGTTTTTTACATGAACTATAAGGGCGAGTAAATTAAATTGCTCTCTTTGATCAGACAATAAGAAAAGAATACTAAACCTCGCCTGCGTTTTTATCATTAATAATGCCCGCACTTTAGGGTGAATGGATAATTTTGTCCCTATCTTTCTCTTTCTCTTCCATTGCAGTGGCTTCTAAGCCTTCTCCTTATCTATTTATCTAAGAAAATATATTTACAAATTGATCACCAATGTTTTAAAAATGTTTACTCGAGTTACTAAGGCGAATGAAAAGAACAAATTGAAGAAAGACCAATATTTAGTTGATAAAAAAACTATGAATAATGAGTTTATTATTGTAGTACCTCAATAATTATTCTTTTTTCCAAACCAATTAATTTAATAAAATCTTAGAGAATTACCAGTGTGTCATTGCCACATGTGTAAACGTAATATCGTAGCAAAAACTTTAAAGCTAAATATTTAGAGTCATAATAAAAATTAAATAAAGTAAATATTTCATACAACTTGGAACCTTTACAAGTCCCTCAAAACCATTACAATTCAAACCAACTCAAGCTTAAGAACTCAAGTCTAATTCCAAACACTCAATTTAAGCTAAAATAATTAAAAGCAATAAAATTTGCAATTAAAATAGTTAAAATATTCGCAATAAAATTTGTAATTAAAATATTTAAAAAAGGCTTGTAAAATCCAAAATAATATGAAGAATTACATTTATAAATTTGCAAATAAGCGATATGAAGATAAGAGTGCCGCAGGTGCCAAAAAGATAAATGCCAAAATAGACATGCTGATGGATGCTGCCACAACTTGTAAGGTTACATTTGTATTATTTCCATTATTGCTTATAAACATGGATAATGTTGCCCCCGATGAACCTGATGAAAATATCATGTACGCCAAAAGCTGCAATTCAAATTACCAAATTATATATTATTAATTATCCATTTATTGATATTTAAACCAAATATTATACTTCCTAAAAAAAAATTATTTAAGCTGACCATTGTTCTCAATAGGTTTTTTAGTGGGAAGGTCTCAAATTCATACTTGTATGTACTTAGGATATGTTCTATTTATATGATTTTAACTTATCTTAATTTATTTTTTTTATTTTTAGAGAAGAGAGAAAGAGAGATGGTACCAATGCTTGAACCCTGGACCTAGAGTATAGAGGTTTATACTCTCACCACTAGTCTACAGGAAAAGCTGGTACTTGAATTTATTAAAGCTTATTAATTATTACAACTTACTTTAGTTATGATTGAAGTTAATTAAACTAAGAGTAATTCTTATCAACTCTTATTAGAATTTATTTTTCTTTGAATTTATCTTATCTTTACTTATTTTTTCGTATAGTGAACAAAACAAGATCATAGTTATTGTAACATAAAATATAACAAACATCTCATTACCACATAATTTTTACTTCAATGAAGTATTTGATTTTTCGATGATAACCTTAACTTTGAAGAAAATCCTATTTTGATTTTATTAGTAATTAATAAGATACAGTATCACATTATTAGTTTAATTTAAAGTTTCAACATGGTATTTCATAAGATTATGACAGTACATGTGAAAGCTATTATTACTATTACAAATTACTACGAGTACTTGTACTGTATTAATTTGTCACTCTTAAATTTCAATGATAAAATATTTAGAAACACTAAATAGTGTATGTGACTATTATTAATCTCGCTCTATTATTCAAGTCAAGGGGCATGGAAGTGGTTTCCACCTCGATCAAATACCTATAAATGTCCTTATTACTCTTTTAAAATTGGCAATATATATAATTTTGAAATCTAAAGCATGCATCGCGTGCATGTAGATCTAGGTTTTATTATGCATAGAAAGTAAGCTACTGCAATACCAAACATAATTGCCAAAAAAAAAAAAGGCATAATATTGACCTGATCTCCGCAAAAGTCGATCCAAAGTGCAACCTTGGGTGAAATCACATCCTTTTTGGTGCGAAGTTCGTGACCTTTTATCCCAACTTGCACTACTGTATACACCACCACAATAATAGCTATACCTAGCACATAACTGTACCAAAGAAAAAAAAAGCTTCATATGAATACACCTCATACAAGGCACGCAATCCAAATACAAGGTATAAATGTATAATAAACCCTTATATAAAAGGAAGTGATATCCCTAAAGCTTTAGGTTAATGAAAAATAAGGATAAACCACTGTTCTAAAACATTTTACATAATAAGACTAGTACATAATTAAACAACATACGAAGTAATATGCTTAAATACAATGGTGTAGAGGTATAGGGAGTAGAGAGTAGGTAGAGACCGCGTAAAATACAAGTTAAAAACACGTAGGGAGTAAGTATGACGTAGTGTAGGAGTACAATGATATTGTAGTAAATGAGTGTAGTAGTACTAGAAGTTTGACGTGTGAGACTAGTTAATACCTTAGCGCTGAAAATAGATAGAAGTCAGGCACAATAACAATAAGGATAAAAGAGAGGAAAGAAACGGTCATAGCACATGTCCTAAAAATAAAAGCCCATAGCTTCATCCGATCACCCTTCAATAACTTCTTCCCGCCGTCTGAGTAATATTCCATCGACGCGGTGTTTATATCTTCCGGCCTCGCCCTAGCCCCACCCTCGATATCGTTTTCTTGAGGCCGAGGCATTTTGTACAAAATAAAAAAAAGAGGTTTAGGGAGAATGGATGGAGAAATTTAACGTGATGTTTTGTTCAAGAACTTCTACGTACACTATTTTTCTTAGAGATAATTTGTATCCACCTTAATCACCTATAACCTATTTATATGGTTAAAAAAGTTAAGGTCAATGTAATTACTTAAGCTATATATTATAGTTTATAAAATAACCATCTACTGAGCAAAAGGTTGCCTTAGCTTCAAGTGGTAATTTAT